CTTATGAAAAAAAAAAAGCAAAAATTGATATAAGAAATAATGAAATTTATAACTCAGGCAAAACTTTCAACATTTTGTCCATTCTAAGAGTATAGTCTAGTTTAGATGGAGGGGAAGCAAGAGCTGACTGGGATACTAACAGGGCAAGAATTTTATTCCTATTAATTTTTTATTTTTCTGTAGAAGCTTAAAAAGAAAATAAGCACTCAAAATTACTTCTAAATTATTGCCAATAAAATAAATGTAGCAGAAAAAAGAAATTAATGTATCTTTAGGACATTAAAAAGTAAACAATTCTGGACAACAGTATTCATCCATTATTCATCCACCCATCTATCCATTCCAAAGAGCATCAGGCACAGATAAAACAAATATAAACAGATTATTACCTCTAGCCTTGTAAACCTTATAGCCCCTTCAGATGATTCCTCATTTTACAAGATATCTGAATAATAAACAATGTGGACAATGTCATTAGACTTTGAATCCATCATAGAAATATTACATTTTTATTCAACTCTGGTTTTGCAAAAACAAAAGGATGTCTTCGTTTCTCAAACATGTTGAAAAATCTATTAGCTATCAATTTTCTAGTAACTTTTTCTATACTAAAAAAAGAAAAAAATAATTTACAATAAGGCCTTTGACAAAGAACCAGGAAATACTGGTGCCTAGCAGAGGTGAGTTCCAAGCCATGAATCACTGATTTAAGCTTTATTAAAATTAGACTTGTTCCCAGCTTGGTTTCACTTAGATATGCTTTCATGTCTCTCAGGCTGTAGTCTATTACTAACATATTTTTCTGTAATTTCTTCCCTTCTGAGTTCAAGAAAAATGAAACCCCAAATCAGATTAATTTTCGAAAGCTAGTACACAGATCGAATAGGTGGGAAGAATGATGGACACTTGTTCCGTTGCAGGAGAACGGGGTTTGAGTGCCAGCAAGAGCACTCAGGCATTCAGATGAGAAACAAAGTCATTCTCACGGATTGCAATTTTTCAGGAGAGTTTTCTGAAAGCCTCTTCCATCCTTGCTTGGGACCAAGAAAAGCCACACCCCTACCCAGAGTTTCTTAACGGCCAGACATAACTACCATAGTTGATCTCAGGTTCCATCAGCTTAAAAAAGTGGCATAAAAGAATCTGACATTTCTTCCTGATGCTTTTATCACTTCCTTCGACGCGTAGCTGGTGAAACATAAAGCATCTTAGTACAATTTTAAAAATTAAGGTTAGGATTTTGGACCCAGGAGCCCAATTAAATATATTTTTTTCTTTAGATCTCACCCCTGCTTTCACTCCACCCTCTGCCTCGGTTGTGAGCTAAGAGATACAGCACAGAAGTGCATTTTAAGAGCCGAGATTGAGCTCTATGCAAGTTCAAATTCATCTGTGGGAAATATGGTGGGAACAAATTCAGTCAAGTAGCTTCTACGCACATGGCCCAACCAACTGGAGCTTCTATGGCTTTACTGCAACTTCTTGACAGACTAAGTGTTCTTTTTCTTCTCATGTTTGTTATTTTTGAATGTCTGATCACTTAAAAAGGCACTTTTATCCATCTGCACACTCAGAGAGAAAAGGGCACAAAGAAAAATTTGACAAAAGCAGCATGAGACAGAATTAAAGTTATGAATATGCTTTAAAAAATCCTACTTCTTATCCAGTAATTAGGCAATAGACAGCAAAAGAGGAAAGAACAAAGTAAATTAAAATATTACCAATGTCTGTATATTCTATTACGTATTTTGAGTAAAATCTTCCAAACATACCTACTCTTTCATGACAACTGAATTTTTCTTAAGATTGGAATGCGTGTTTAAAATGCACGCTAGCAATGAAGCAAAGATATTTCTGAGAGATCAGGGAAGAAGGCATATCATCATTGTTTAAAATAAGTAATATGCTGAGTTAATGATCATCTGACTCAGACCATTCCCTGGACAGGGATACATAAAATGAATTAAACCCTGGTTACAGGCATCCCTCACAACCACACGTCAACTTTAGGTTTATCAAAAGGATGAATAAGCTGGTAATAAGTAAATGGAGGAATGGAAATATGTATGCCTTAGCTTTCGGGATTCCCCTCTTTCCATAGCTTCTGGTGAACTGTCTGGGTTCTTCATTTCTAGCTCTCTCTGAAGGCCCGTAAGGATGTATTCCTAGTGTTCTAGACTGACACCTAAAAGGGATTCCCTATTTCTTTTTAAAATATTTTATTTATTTGAGAGAGAGTGTGAAAGAGGGAGGGGGAAAAAGAGAGAGAGAGAGAGCACAGGGGGAGGGGCAGATGAAGAGGGAGAGAAAGAGAGAGACTCTCAAGCAGACTCTACACCAGTGTGGAGCCCGACCAGGGCTTGATCTCCCAACCCTGAGATTAGAACCTGAGTCAAATCAAAAGTTGGATGCTTAACGGACTGAGCCACCCAGCAGTCGCTCCAGGGAACTCCCTATTTTTAAAATAACACTAGCAATGATTAGGTTATATGGATTTTAAGTGCTTTCTTGCAATCACTGTTTGAAATAATTGGCCCTTGATGTATCCCCTTGGATCCAAACCACTAGTTTCATACATACTATTCCCAAGGTAAAATATGAATCTAACATCAGCTCAGACAGTATTTGTTGCTGGGAACATTTTACCCGCAAGTAGCGGTTTTCATAAGAACTTTTGTTTTTTCAAACATAAGTATCTGGGATTAAGGAGTTCTATCGATAGGTCATCCAAAAGCTCAGAGCTGTTTGGGCTTAGAGTCGGCTTATTAATCTTCCTTGACTTTATGTTTTTAGCCAATTTGCCTCCCGATTTTCTAAATATCACCCCTTTACAGAACAATGCCCTGAAACAATAAAGATGGGTTGAAGACTGTTCTTGCCATCTCGCTTTTTAGAACTTAATTTCTTAGAAGACCCAACAGAAGACATATCCTTAGCTCTCCCTGACCAAAACCAGCTTACATACACAACCCCAAAGGAATCCTTGACCAGATGCATGGGATTTGTTTGGATCAGTGGTTCTCAAAGTGTGGTCCCTGAAGCAACAGCCTCAACAGGGAACTTGTTAGAAATGCACCTTCTTGGGCCCCTCCCCAGGCCTATGGACATTGAAGCTCTGGAGTTAAGACCCAGCAATCTCCTTAACAAGCCCTTCAGAAGCTGAACTTTGAAGACTGCTGATTTAGACAAATCTGATTCGTCCCCTTGGTCTGAGCCCAACTTTCTTGAGCAGCTAAGGACACATCATTTTCAAGACCTTTGCACTTACTCCTTCTGCTTTGTGTGATCCTTCCCTACATGGGTTACTGCCTCCGGTCCTTTACCTTACCAGAGTCTTTTTTCTGATAACTGTGCGTGAATAGTTATGGCCTAGACACGTACCCCAGCATTTCCCATCCCCCCTTACTGCTTTATTTCTCGCCAAAGAAGGTATCACCCTCTGACATATTTTTGTTAATAAATTAATTTTTATTGGTGTTCAATTTACCAACATACAGAACAACCAGTGCTCATCTCGTCAAGTGTCCCCTTCAGTGCCCGTCACCCATTCACCGCCACCCCCCCCGCCCTCCTCCCCTTCCACCACCCCTAGTTCGTTTCCCAGAGTTAGGAGTCTTTATGTTCTGTCTCCCTTTCTGATATTTCCCACACATTTCTTCTCCCTTCCCTTATATTCCCTTTCACTATTATTCATATTCCCCAAATGAATGAGAACATACACTGTTTGTCTTTCTCCGATTGACTTACTTCACTCAGCATAATACCCTCCAGTTCCATCCACGTTGAAGCAAATGGTGGGTATTTGTCATTTCTAATGGCTGAGTAATATTCCATTGTATACATAAACCACATCTTCTTTATCCATTCATCTTTCGATGGGCACCGAGGCTCCTTCCACAGTTTGGCTATTGTGGACATGGATGCTAGAAACATCGGGGTGCAGGTGTCCCGGCGTTTCATTGCATCTGAATCTTTGGGGTAAATCCCCAACAGTGCAATTGCTGGGTCGTAGGGCAGGTCTATTTTTAATTCTTTGAGGAACCTCCACACAGTTTTCCAGAGTGGCTGCACCAGTTCACATTCCCACCAACAGTGTAAGAGGGTTCCCTTTTCTCCGCATCCTCTCCAACATTTGTTGTTTCCTGCCTTGTTAATTTTCCCCATTCTCACTGGTGTGAGGTGGTATCTCATTGTGGTTTTGATTTGTATTTCCCTGATGGCAAGTGATGCAGAGCATTTTCTCATGTGCATGTTGGCCATGTCTATCTGACATATTTTTATTTTTATTTGTGTCTGGTCTGTTTCTTCTACTGGAATTTAAGTTCTACAGAAGTAAGGCCTTTGTTCTCTTTATTTCACTGCTTTATCCCCAGGGTCTAGAACACTGCAAATTATAGGCATAAAATAAATATTTGCTAAATGAATGATCTGAATACTGATATCCAAATGAGATCGGAAGAAGTCAAAGAATGGCTAACGGGTAGACAAACAACAGTCTGCCAAAGCAAACTATATACAAATGGAGATTTGGGATACAATCTATTCGGGAATTTAAATGTTTGTCATGATATAAAATACAGCTTTATTTTTTTAACTTAAAATAAACCCCTCCTTTTTAGCTTAAATGCTATGTTAAAATAAATTTACATATATTACACATGTTTCTGTTCTACCAAATGTGATAGCTTTTATCAGTGGAAATGTCACTTTTCTCAGAAAATAAACAAATTTGAAAAACACAGGAACTTCCATTAAAATTAAATTTTAAATAACCAGCTTTCTTTCAAAAAATCCAGCATTCAGATGAGGGAGAAATTTAACACAACCAAAATAGTTTCAAAATTTAAGCTATTTATACAAACAGATTAAAACACTTCCAATTTCTCAAACTAAAGATTTTGTTTTAGGCTAATTTTAAGGAAATTACTTAATATTTGGATTTCTTATCAATTCTTGCTTTACATTAAGAATAACTTTATATAAATGAATAAATACATGGTTCTATTATTTATACGCAAAGAAAATTTTAAATGCTATAATATGCTAAATATTATTGAACAAGAGAAAATAAAAATTCAATTGAAATGCATCTCTTGTTAGTTTAACATGGATAAAGCATATTTCCTGAAGTACTTTTTGAAAATTCTTTGAGTAAATTTTCTTATAATTTATATAGTATTTGCATAAATTGGTATGTTTAAATCTAACCATAGAGGCGTTACTCATTAAGATAATTTCCTTAAGAAAAGAATAGTGCTTGCAGGATAAATTATCTATGGCAACAAAGCACAAGATCTTAGCTACTAATTTGCAAATAATTGTGTGTGCCTGTGTATATGTGTATATATACAGACTTAGAGCACTGGTATAAATTGTATGTAAAAAGGCAGGGAGCAAATCAGCATTCAACAACCGAAAACATTTTCTTTTTAGTGGAGGTTGGAGAGACTCGCCTCTAAGCACGCTGAGCATGCAAGCGGCACAGTGCTCCTACCTCACTGCATAAGGGACTTTCCAGGGTTGTCCTGCTTCCTCGATGTACCACCAAAACCTTTCCTGAAACTTACTGTCCTGCTTTTCGAAGATACAGCAGGTTAAAGTCCTTTTCATAGGTTTACAGCAATTCTAGTTTGAGACGAAATATTGTGTAAATGGACTGACTTTCATGTTTTTTCATGATTTAGATCAACCCTTCCATTTCATTCCTGCCACACATCTTGCCAATAACTTCTTACCTACACACGAATCAGAGGGCAGCACCACTGACCTCGACTGCAATGAATACAACTTCCTGGACACCTCTTGTCTCGTAACATGTGTTCACATCATTCTTCATTTTAGACATTATAACCTTGATTATTGACTTCATATGTTTGTTTCTTTTAATAATCAAGCCAATGTCCATATCCTCTTTATGTCTTGGCTGTCATGAGTATTGCATTCCAATAAGACAGGAACCAATCTATTACCCTGGAAATTTTTTAGGACAATTTTGCATGTCAAAAAATTTTCAAAATCATCATTCTATTGTAATATGTAAGCTAATTTTTCTTGGCTTTTATATTGTCTCACATTCCCACAAGAATTTTCAGTGCCCAAATAAGCACAGTGCACACATTTTTTATTTTTAAAGTAGACTCCACACCCAAAGTGGGGCTTGAACACACAACCCTGAGATCAAGAGTCACATGTTCTACTGACTGAGCCAGCCAGGCGCACCTACACACATTTTAAGTATATATTTAATGGGTTTTTACCTGTGTATATTTTTATGACATACTGACCCATTCCTTGCCCAGAAGGTTCCTTCCTTCATGCCTCTTCCCCTGTCAACATGCTTATGCCATTCTGATCATTAAGTCTGTCTTCAACATGTCGTGTGAGAAACTTACTTATTTTCACACCAAAAAATGTATTTCAAAGTTGACTAATACTTATATGGTGTTAGTTCAAAATGTAGTCAGGCAATAAATTGATTTTAAAGTAAAAAGTGTGGGGTTTTTTTGTAAGTAGAAAAATGCTAAATGTTCAAAGAAGGAATTAAAATTTAAAAATCTACTTTTTCCCAAGTAAGCTCTATCACAAAAATTCAGTTTTGTTTCTATGCATATATCTTTCATAACTGCATAACACAAACTATAGTAGTTCCCCCTTATCCAGGTTTGATTTCCATGGTTTCAGTTACCCTTGGTCAACTGTGGTCCAGACAAATGATCCACTTTCTGACTTGTCATCAGAGGCCAGCAGGAGCTCACTATCATTCACCTCACTTCATCTCATCAAGTAGGCTTTGTCAACCCACATCATCACAAGAATAAGAAGGGTGAGTACAGTAAATTAAGATATTTTGAGAAAAAAAGAGGAATCACAGTCACATAACTTTTTTATAGTACATTTTCACAATTATTCTATTTTGTTGTGATATTGTTAGTAATCTCTTACTGTGCCTTCTTTATAAATTAAACTTTATCCTAAGTATGCACAGATAGGAAAAACCATAGTGTATATAGAGGGTTTGGTACTATCTGTGATTTCAAGCATCCACTGGGGGTCTTGGAATCTAATACTCCACAGACAACAAGAGGGGAACTACAGTTTGTTCTTCTGAAGTAAGATACACAATGATTGTAATGATTATGATGATGTTAAAACTGCAATTAAGTTTCATGTAATAGTCACAATATACTAGGCATTATTGAAGCATTTCATATATAAATATATATTATATATATAATTACATAATATATATTATATATACACACACAGAAACTATTTTAATCCTCACAATAATAGTAACGGAAGGGTACTCTAATATTCCTATTTTGGGAATGATGTGCAAATAATTTGCCCAATACTAAAGAATAGTAAGGGGCAAAGTCAGGACTTGAACCCAGATAGCCAGGCAGCCCGGGTGGCTCAGCAGTTTTTTTTTTTTTTCTTTTTTATTTATGATAGTCACAGAGGGAGAGAGAGAGAGGCAGAGACACAGGCAGAGGGAGAAGCAGGCTCCATGCACCGGGAGCCCGACATGGGATTCGATCCCGGGTCTCCAGGATCGCGCCCTGGGCCAAAGGCAGGCGCCAAACCGCTGCACCACCCAGGGATTCCTGGCTCAGCAGTTTAGAACCGCCTTTGGCTCAGGGCCTGATCCTGGAGACCCGGGATCGAGTCCACATCGGGCTCCCTGCATGGAGCCTGCTTCTCCCTCTGCCTGTGTCTCTGCCTCTCTCTCTCTCTCTCTGTGTGTGTCTCTCATGCACCCAGACAGTCTAGGGCCAGAGTCTTTTTCTTTTACTCATGAAGCCACACTATCAACCGGAGGCTCAGAGTATAGCAGGGATAGATTACTATCGACCAATGAGCTCTTTCTCACTGCCTCGCAGTTTCTGGCAAATATTGTATGCCATGTGGTAAGTTCAATTTCCATAATCTTGCCTCTCCTACCATCCAAGTGTCATGTGATATTTGTCATTATAATTTTATATGTATTGAGAGAGGGACAAAATGACATTTAAACAGCTTGTGTAAGTGCAAATAAATCAATAACCAAATAAGAAAATTTAAAATTTTAGAATCACTTATAGCCTTCTTTTCTCAGCTATAGAAATGCAGAATGACAATATCTAAAGAACCTCTCAGAGGATGATGCAAGGCCCTTCTGTATTTCTGGCTCTATTTTAAATCTGCATAAGCATAGGTGATATATATCTAAATGCTTTCTGACATTATCTTTAAAAATTTCAGCTCTAATTTTTTGACATATAAGCTAAGCCTTTAAAATAAAATAAATGCCTATACAGTATATGTATCTGTATATGTTTTCTCTCCCTCTTCATTAAGGATTGGCTAATTTTTAAAAATATTATGAGGAATCTTAGTATTTGAATTGAAAAAAGGTTTTTTTTTTTTTCTTCTCTTCTGTAAAGCTTTTTTATTACTTCTCATGAGTCAAGGGAAAAGTCTTTCTTTATTGCCTTTACAAATCATGAGTAAAACACAAATGCTTAATTGAGCAGATTGATGATTAAATGGAGAAAAATGATGAAAGGAAAGATGCCAGCACAAACAGAATATGGCCATTCATTTCTACCCCAAGTGAATCAACCACTGCTCATGAATGTGGGTTTAATACTGATTTTGGCAGAAACTACCCAGAGCAGCAACCCTCCGTGGAGTCCCACGTCTGCACGGGGACAGCTTTTTCCTGTTTCTTTTGCTAGAATACACCAAGTGGCTCTGTCTCTCTCTCTCTCTCTCCCTCGTTGGCATAATCAAATAACTCTTAAATGAAGGATTATAAACATAGTGAATGCAGGGGACTTTCTCACACCTGAACTCCAAACACTCATTCCAAGATGAAATGTTTCTCCTTAAAGACACTAGGCAACTAAGCTATAATATGCAACGTCAGCAGGAATTACCCTGGTCATCAGTCACCAGAGATCTAATTTCTTGGCATCCACTGCATTAAAACAATTTTTTTTAAGTTCAAAAAAAAGAAAAAGATGTTGAAATGGGAAAGGACAAAGATTATTTCACGTTCTCTTTCCTTTTTTAAAAAAATGTTGTGGTGTGGCACTATGGGGTGAAATGCACCCCTAGGCCCACACTACGCACCTCCGGGACTCAGTTCATATCTTTGAGGTTAAGATAAAATAGCTTTAACTGAGTTGCACGACTCCTGCCAGTACTCTGACACACGCACGGACTAGCTCTCTTCCTATTTACGTCTGATGGTCTACCCAGGGGATAACAGGTCTTTAAACAAGCAGCTTGCTATTTTGAATGGATATGACTGAGCCTTTCCTAATATGTTGGTTGATCAGCAGCGTAAGACCTTTCAGACACCCGATGGCAGACATAAACCCTTCGAAGGTTTTCTAAATCCTTCCAGTCCTCCTAACAGCAATTGTCCAGTCAAGTGCTGGAGGATGGGCAGGAGCACCCGTTAGGTTAAAGACACCCGAGGGAGCCAGAGAACTTGGCTGGCAGTTTGGCTGGGCCCTACTACACATACTCTGCAACAGAAGTGCCGCATTTCATTAGCCAGGAGGCAGGAAACAAAGCTCCCTCATTTTAGAAAGCAGGTGAATGGAACCTCAAGAAAAAAAAAAAAAGGCAAAACCTCTTACCTTTTGTAGCGATTCGTACACACTGGGTTTTAGTTTCCTGATGGAGTGAAACATGAGAGAGAACAGTCAGTGTACAGGCAGGGTTTCCCATTTCGTAATCCCGAGTTATACAGTAGGTTTATGAAGAGCAGAACTGCAGTATTAAGGAAATTTTTTTTTTTTTTTTTTACTTTTTAAAAACATATCCTCGGGAGAGCTTTAAAAAATCTGAAGTAAGAACTTTTAAAAATGTTTCCCTATTTTCTAAAAGCTCAGGTGTCTGTTTTCCTCTTGCAGTGAGATGGGCTATCTTGCCTGGGCCAGCAGCAGAGCACTGTATTTTTGTACTTACTGTACTTTTTAAACAGAAAGAACAATGTGTTTGCATGCCTCATACACATCGGAGCTGGACACAAACTCCGTTTTCACCACACAAGGTAGACTCAGAGCAACACCTAACGCCACATACTCTCACCTGGAGCCCAGCTCGACTATGGAGCTAAATGACAGCAGTTAGAAAGATCACCCGAAAGTTGTATCACGGTTGCAGTAGATTTATCTGTTTTGTTTGTTTTGTTTTTAGCTGTTAGGGGTTAAATATTTCTCATTGGGACTATTTTCCTACCCCTGCTAGACAGATGGAGTCGAGGAAGGAGAAGCTAAAATGGGAAAAGATGAAGATTATTTCATGTTTTTTTTCTTCTTTTCTTTCTTTTCTTTCTTTTCTTTCTTTCTTTCTTTCTTTCTTTCTTTCTTCTTTCTTTCTCTCTCTCTCTCTCTCTCTCTGTCTCTCTCTCTTTTTCTTTTCTTTTCTTCTTCTTCTTTCTTTTTAATGTTGTGCTGTGGCACTACTCAGTGAAATGCACCTGTAGGCCCACCCCACACAGTTCCGGGACTCAGACTGCATCTTTGAACACAGGAGAGGTTGGAAAAGATGGGGAAGCCAGGGTACAAAACGAAGGCTGTTTGTTTCTAGGATGTATTTGTGACTCATCTTCAGTGGCTCCACGTATTGACAGGCTAAGAGTTTATCACTGTCCCTTAATCACACAAAACACAGCTCGGAGGGGGTGATTAGTAGCTAAAAATCAAGCTGTGCATCCTACACTTACTCATGACCTGAGGCCTTTCAAGTCCCAGGGGACCCTCTGGCCTTCCCACAAAGGCCCAGAGGCATTCTGAGCTCCTAAAAGCAACTGCTGTTGCTTCCATCAGGATCTCTGGCCTCCCCCGGCAGGAACCACACCAATTTTGAAAGTATCCGCCTAGAGAACCGTGAGGTCGTGAGGCATGTTGCAGCGGCTCTGGGCTTTGACCAAACCGCACGCAGACACATCAACAGTGAGCAAGCAAGGCCGTTCACATGGAGGCTTTCACCTGGCCTCGGGCCTCTGCAGGGTCTGGGAGGTGACGGATGCTGCAGGGGTGAGCTCGGACCTGGTGACTGCACTGTTCCGTGGGGTCTGCACCGAGCTCGGGCCTCTGCAGGGTCTGGGAGGCGGCGGCCTGCAGGGGTGAGCTCGGGACCCGGTGACTGCACTGCTCCGCGGGGTCTGCACCGCCACCTCCGCCAACCCCCTGGCTCGCAGCTCTCCTGCCCGAAGTGCGCAAGGGACGCAGGGCTCCTGGGCCACACCCGCCCGCTGTGCTGGGGCTGCTCCCCCTCCCCCCTACTTCTGCCCCCGCCCCCCCTTGCTCCTGCACCCCCCTTGCTCCTGACAAATGTTACGGAGCAAGCAGAGGACCCCCCGCAGCTTTGCTCGGGGCAGTGCAGAGGCACGTGATGCAGAAAGCTCACCTTCTCCACGCTGCTCATGGCCTGGAAGTAGATGTTGTAGCCCTTGCGCGGCGCCAAGGGAGGGTTCCAGAAGCCCTGGTAGGTCCGGTTGTCACCCACGGTGAACGGGGCAGGTTCCGGGAGGTTCCCCGGGGGCAGTTCCGCCGCGAAGTAGTAGGGCGCGCCCCCGCTCAGGGCGCTTTGGTAGGTGACAGGCACCTGGTAACACTCCATGGAGCCCGCTTCTCTCTTGGTCCGGTGCGGGTGCAGCTCCTCCACCACAATCTGATAGGCACTGTTTGGAAAAAGACCAAAACAAAAACAAAAAACCACAAACAAAAAAAGCACACATTTAGAGAGTCTACATACTATGATGTCTCAAAAAAAAAAAAAAAAAAAAGACGTATTAACATCAACCCACATTTAAAAGCTTTTAAAATCAGTCCTAACCCATTGCATTCTTTTTTTTTCCCCAGCTACTTTGCAATAAAATACAATTTCGCGTGGCTGCTCCTTCCCCCAAACTCAACAGGAGTCACTAAGGAGCTGGAAAAAGAACAAAAGTAAGGAAAAGCACCCCCAAACTCTGGGCAGGCTTTGAAGGCCGAGAAAGGGGCCGGCCCCCTTACTAAGGGATGTGACAATACATAGAGGCACGTAACAGATGGGGGTCTTGGTTCTGGTACTTTTATTTATTTTTTATTTTTTTATTTTTACTTTGTTTTATTTTTTTGGTTCTGGTACTTTTAAATGTTTACAGTTAAGGTTTCCCTCTGAAAGGACAGGAGGGGAGGGCCGCCTGAGGCCAGCACCGGGGTGCCCTGGGGTGGGGTGGCCGTCAGGCTGGGGCTCCTGCCCCAGCTTCCCCCCCGGGGCCTGCACTGCGGCCCCGGGCTCTGCCGAAGCCCAAGGGGCGCGGGCGACAGGCACAGATGGATGGAAATGTGTCCTTGCCCCTGAGATAGGCGGCTTCCTCTTTTCTGACGTGTTCCTAATAAAATGTTACAAATTGTAGAAACAGATGGCATTTTCCCTGTTAAAGCTGGAACCTCAGCCTTCTAAGACCTTCTTGAAAGTCTTAAAACTTTCCTGCAATAGCTATGATCTTACAGAGCAAAGCCGAGGATACCTAACAACTGTGCAACGCCTGCCTAATCACTAGTAACTTTGTTTTTGATCAATTGCTGAAACGGGCGTATTCATCATATTCGTTTGTTGTAGTATATTCTTCGGGGGAACGTTTCTTAGGTGATGTGGTGCACCTGAGAAGGCTGGCATTATTAATGAATTGTAAATGTTTCTGGTGAATTCAACGACCCTGAAGATTAAGAAAGAACGCACTGTGGTCACTTAAATAAATTGAATAGAAATAAACTGTATGTAGGGCTATTGGAATCTTGAGTGTCTAGGCAAATATGCTCACTCTATATAGGGACAGCCGTCACTGAGTGACTCTCCAGCAGGAATAGAATCTTTTCTTTTCTATAAAAAGAAAGAGGAGGGAGAGACAGAGAAGACAGAGAGGCACACCAAGAGAGAGACAGAGGGAGAAAAACTGAATTTACATCTATGATAATTAAAAGTTAAATTTTCTATCGGTTTAGAATCTGGTATAAAATTCTAACTTAGGGCACCCGGGTGGGGTGGCTCAGTCAGTTAAGCATCTGCATTCAGCTCAGGTCATGATCCCCGGGGTCCTGGGACAGAGCCTCAGGTGGGGCTCCCTGCTTAGCAGGGAGTCTGCTTCTTCCTCTGCCTCTGTCCCTCCCCTCTGCTCGTGCTCCCTCTCTCTCTCTCTTTCTCAAATAAATAAAATCTTAAAAAAAATTAAAAACGGGGCAGCAAAAAAAATTAATAGATAAAAACAAATAAAAACAGGGCAGCCCCGGTGGCACAGCAGTTTAGTGTCGCCTGCAGCTTGGGGTGTGATCCTGGAGACTCGGGATCGAGTCCCATGTTGGGCTTCCCACAAGGAGCCTGCTTCTCCCTTTGCCTGTGTCTCTGCCTCTCTCTCTCTCTCTCTCTCTGAATAAATAAATAAATAAATCTTTAAAAAAATTAAAGACAATAAGATTCTAACTTAATATAAACTCTTTTACACCTACAAACAGAAGACCTTCATAGATTAAAAGAAAGAAGCTTTACAAAGGTTTTCTTTTCTTCCTAATATTTCAAGTTCCCATTTTCCATTAAAATAGTGCTAAGAACTTAGTAGTTTGCTATCTCCTTTCCTTTAGAAATAGGACAGAAATTGTATTACTGTCAGAACTCTAGATGTGGGCAAGCCGCTAAGGCAGAGGAATATGTTCCCTGAAATCACACCTAGTCCATCATTCTCTCTGCAGCTGCCAACCTGGGCCTCTGAGCTCCCAGGAAAGCTACAGACGGATACATCTCTCTGAGGGGTCCATGGAGCAGGCGCTTGGCAATTTTAAAATATGAGACAGAGGGGCACCTGGTGGCTCAGGCCGTTGGGCCTCCAACCCTTGGTTTCAATCAGCTCATGATCTCACGGGATGTGGGACTGAGCCCCGAGGCAGGCTCCAGGCTGGACGGGGAGTCGGCCTGAACGATTCTCCCCCTCTGATCCCTGCCCCCCTGCTCATGCGCCCTCTCTCCCTCTTTTTCTATCTTTCTAAAAATAGATAAATATTCCAAAAAATTAAATACAGGAAATACATAAGCACAACCCTTGGAGAGAAAGGGGAATCGTAGCTGACATAGGCTATGTTAAGCAGACCTCATCTCTTTTTCTTTCTTTTTTTTTTTTAAATTAAAATCAATGTTTTATTTATTTTATTTTGACAATCATTTTTATAAATTTATTTTTTATTGGTGTTCAATTTTCTTTTTATTTTCAACTTAGAATCCATATGTTATGTTACACACCCGCATATCCTGTGGATGCGCACTTTTAGGTGGACAAGCATACACATGCACGCTCCCCCAACAAGTCAGTGCTCACATTCTTGCCCTCCTGGGCAATAATGATAATTACTCATACTCGTTAATCATTTACTCTAATCCTTAAAAATAAATTCCTCACCCATTATCCCATACCTCTAGAAAAGTCCAGAAAATCTAGTAAACAGTCTTAATTAATTCTGTCGAACTGACATAGGTTGTACATTCCAAATTAAGGAACTTGGTGCAAGACAGCTTGTCTCTCCACATATACTCGGAGCAAAACAAACTGACGACACTGGAGAGGAGTAAAAGAAGAAAAGGAACAATCTGGTCTCGGGGAAAGATCTCACTGAATTTGAGATGAAACCTCAAACTAAAACTTATAAAATTCAGTTTTTAAAAGGAATTAGCCTTCCCTCACTGATTAATCTGTGTGAGCAGGCTACTGTCCAACCACACACTTCCACTTTTTTAAAGTCTGTTTTTTTCCCCTGCTACTTTCTTATTTATCAATACAAATTAACTAAAGGACAGAAATTAAGGAATGAGAAATCAAATTAGAAGTGATTTGACTGATTACATGAAACAGGCCTGTGCTTTTCCATCCTTGTGATTGTCTAATTACCTAACGGTACTCAACTCTAGCTGGATCTAAATATTATTTGAGCTTAGTACTCTAGCAATTTAAAATATTCCAAAGCCACTTAGATAGCTGTACTTCACTCTGCCCATATTTCATATTTCCCCATTCCTTTTAATTAAAGTTTTAAAATATTTCTATAATTAAGTTAAAATCAATATACTGGCATCATGAATCTTCGCTTGATGCTGAAAATATGGTTTCCTTATGTTAAACTAAAATTGATTTCACTTTAATTTGATTAGACATTGGTATGTAGTCATTTTTAGTTTTTTGGGACGCCAAATGATGACTCCTTATCATACGATTTTCCTTCAGTTACAAAACTAAAAAAATGTACAAGGGGATTTTACCATTAGCTCGAAAAGTGATTATATGGTACATATAGTAGATGGTCTGCTTGGTTTCATGCTTAAAATTGTTGAAGCTGAAACCAAAATTACCTACAATAGCCTGCTGTGTTGTTTTTTTGTTGTTGTTGTTGCTTTTTTTTTTTGTTTTTTTTTAACCCATTAGTAAGTAAGACCTCTGAGAATCTGGTCTTAGTTTTAGGCTGCGTAACTTTTTAGTGACAGCGAATAACAATTACACAATTGTACACTTCTCATTTCGTACCTAAAATGTCTCCTTAAAGCTTCAGGAGAAATTCCCTAGCCCCAGTGTTTTGCTCTTTTTCTTATGAACAGACTTCCTAAGATCTCACAGCCTCCGCTGCTCCTGTGGTCCTAATGCAAACATTTTCATGATCCAGAGTGGAGGTTTAAATATCGTTTTGGTGACCATGATATTCCCTGCGCTTCATCTCTTCATTCCTTAAACACACAAGCCACGTCCCTCAGGACTTCCTTATTTCTGTAAGAGGAACGATCAGTTTCTGAATCAACAGAGCTCAAATTCTGGCATTAACTTTAATAACTTCTATTTTTAGCCACATTTCTACCTCCCTTGTAATATACCATTTCTTTTCGCTCCCAACGCTGCCCTCTTTAGGGGGGTATTTATATCTTTAGGTTCCTATTACTGATTTAGTTTTCTTGCTCTTATTTTTTTCTTCATATACTCCAGACAACTACCCATCCATCCATCCATCCATCCATCCATCCATCCTTCTATCCATCCAGCTACCCATCCACCCATCACTCTATCCATTTAGTGTTTTTTGAGTATTCTTTATATGCTGCGAGCTGCTCATGGAGAACACAAAACACAACCACTTTTCAAACTGCTGATACTTTGCTAAGACACCGCTTTGAGCATTAATTACTCTCCTCCAACTTTTTACTTTGTCAAAACTATGTGCAGCTCTCCCATGGTCAAAATCCATACTTTTTACACTAGGGTCAGTATCTTACCACAACTTTTACCTTATACCTCCACTCTTGCTCTCTCTACCTCCTGACATATAGACTCCACCACAAACTTGAATGACCACTGTTACTAAACATACCAAACATACGGTGAGTTTCTAGCTTTTCTACTTCTGCTAGAAAACCTTCTCGGACTAGTTCACATCTTAGTGTTATTCGGTCTTCTAAAGCCAATGGAGGTAATTCTATAGGTGGAGGTAGACAACGGAGGGATGAAATGGGGCAAAGGAATCAGAGTCAAGTGACATGCTTTTTCCATTCAGTCCAAATTATAATGACAGATTCATTGAGGAAAACCATCAAGTGTATGGCTCAGGGATTCTGGGCTTGAGAAAAAGCCCCAAACTACTGTCTTATAATATTTATTGTGCTTATCACTAA